TCTACCTTCATGGGTCAAATATGAAATTCAATAGATTTTAGAGTTCTATGCTGATTAAACGTAAAAAAAACATTATAAAGCAGCAATTAAACATTCAAAATTTTACTAACACTAAATAACACTTTTCAGTCACGTTTGCGTTCAATGAGAACATCCAGTATAATTTTACAAACGAAAAATGCATATCATAACTCCGATTGGTGTCGTATAGAATAGCATATACAAATCTACTTATTTTTGAACAAACTTTTAAAATATTTTGTCATATTGAAATATGACAATGTTCCCAAGCGTTGATGCATCTATGTATTCTTCTGCCATTTGGTCTATTCCTGCAAGAATCTACTACTTTTGCAATTTTCTTCGATATCATAAAGGGAAAATTGTTTATCGCAGTAAAAGATTTTAGATTCTTGCAGTTCTGGAACATAGCAATATTTTTGTTTGGACACTTAAAGGCATGTAAAGAGGTTTACATGTACGAAATCAAGATGATAATAAGATCTACTAGATTTAGTTTATGTAAACAGGTTTAGTTAAACAGACGAAAAGTACGTCGATTACGACGATTTATGAAATCCACTCGATTCAAATGGCAATTCCATACCGTCAAGTCATGGTGGAAGAAAACTGTTATGTGCATCAAAGCTTGGGAACATTGACATGTCAAAATATTTAAAATGTTTTATCAAGAATAAGTAGATTTTTATATGTTTTCTTATATGACACAAATCGGAGTTTGTTATAATATATATTTTCAACATTTTTTACATTTTAATAATTTTTCATACAACATTTTCAATTTTAAAATCTGTTTGACAGTTCATTGTCCCAGCAGCTGTGTCGATACGACTACCTGTATTCTTCTACCATGCGTCATATAACACCACTGGATTTATGAATACGATTTACGTGACGTATAGGTTAAGGAATTGTTATGGTTAAGGAATTTTGACATATCAATGCTCCCAAGCGTTGATGCATCTACCTGTATTCTTCTGCCATGGGAATTGTCATTTGGAATCGAGGGGATTTAGTAGTCTAAACGTGCTTAAAGTATTTATTTGACAATTACCACATGAACTCAAGTTTCTTGTAATACCAAGCCATGGTAGAAGAATATAAGTCGGCACAAAGCTGCTGTGACTGAACTGTCAAACCAATTTTGGAATTGCAAATGTTGAATGAAAAATTATTTAAATTTAAGAATTTTTTTGAAAACTCGAATTATAATAACCTCCAAATGACGTCTTATAAGAAAACTTATAAAAATCTACTTATATTTGAAAAAAAAACAAGCCACACTGTTCTAAAAAAAAAAAACATTTAAAATTTGTTGATATATCAATATTCCCAAGCGTTGATGCATCTGCCTTTATTCTTCTACCATGGACCAAGCTAACGTTTTATGAACAATTTTTACAAAATTTAAAAAAAAAATAGACACACGAAATTATACAGTTATTTCCAGTGATTTTTATTGAGTATGATTTCTTTTTTAAATAAATAAAATTAAAATTTGTTATAAATTTTGTATTTTCAAAATCTTTTTTTTGAAATATTGTAATAATTAGATAAATTTAAACATATATCAACAAAATGAAGAAAGGAAAAAAAAAAACACTGCAAATAATCCATTCTATCACTTTTAGAGTCTTTTATTATGGAGAAAAAAACAAAAGTAAATAAATACAAACTGTTTTCAAATTAATACAATTTCATATTTCACAAATTTTTATAATATTTTCAAATTTTTTATTTCCTCAATAATTATTAATATCTTTGTTTTTTAAATATTATTAACTTTTAAATTCTTTTGTCTTTGTAAACTACTACCAAAAAATTATAAATAATCACGTTGAATGCGCTAACCACGTATATATGTATGTTTGTTTGTTTTGTTTTTTATGTATGCAATTACTTAACTATATATAAATGTATAAATATAGTGGGGGGTTTTTCATATATGTAGTTTGTGTGGTTTCAATTAATATTATTTTCTTATCAAATATAATATTTGATTTATGTTGTTGTTATTATTTTTATTATGGTTTTATCGTAAACATATTAAATTGTTGTTTTGTTGTTGTCATTAATAAAAAAACGAACTATTCGAATTCATTCAAAGCTATCAAACGTTTATGTATGTAGGGGTGTATTGGTGTGTGTTGATTTTTTTCGAGAGCTTAATAATCGATTACAATGTAGACAAATCGATGAGAAAATATTGGACGTGTTCCGGTACTTTTTGTAACGGCAAAAAAACATTAGTATAAAATAATTTTGAGAGGGAAAATTAACAAAAAAACTAAGTACAAAAGAGAAAAATAGTAAGGATTTCTATAGTTTGTTATATAAGATCATTAAAAAATATCAGCTGATCGCTCGCTGAATTGTTAGTTAATCACAATAGTGACACAATAAAAAGGTACAGCATTTTTCGCAGCTGATTATGTAAATTTACGTACGTTTAGATTTACCAAATCGATTCGATCTCAAATGTCAAATCCACAGAGTATACGTCAGATAATAGCGAGTGGATTTATGAATACGATTTATGTGACGTATACGCTCTACATTTGACATTTGAAATCGAGTTAATTTAGTTGTCTAAACGTGTTATAACTCTATGTTATCAACATGGTAAAAAAATGCAGGTAGATTCAAAAAATTTAAAAAGTTTTTTAATATAAGTAGATTTTTATAATTTTTCTTATACGACGTCAACCGGAGCTTATTATAATATGCGTTTTTCAACAGTTTTTACAAATTTGAATAATTTTCAATTCCAAAATTGGTTTGACAGTTCATTGTCCCGTCACCTGTGTCGATGAGTCTACCTGTATTCTTCTATCATGTATGTCAAAGCACTTCTTGCTTACGTCAAAGCCCTTTTTGCTTATAAACAATCAGTAAATAAATTTTGACATTTAGTCTGATAGGGATCTCATTATTTCGCCTTAACCACAATTTTTTAGGTGGGTTACACATTATCAAAACATAATGACAGCTTTGTTTAAAAATCAATTTCAAGTCTTTTGGTTTATTTGCAGCGATCATGTTAGTAGTCAATCTAAGAAGTAATTTTTTTACATGCCTGGTGCTAGACTTCACAAAATATTCCTGGCTATAGACGAACTAAACTTGAAGGGTCATATATTGGTGAATCCAAAATCGACACATGAATCAATAGCATGGTAGTATAAAATATAGGTAGATGCATTAACACTTGGGAACATTGATATGTCAACATTTTTAAAATGTTTTTTTTTAAATAACTATATTTTAAAATGTTTTCTTATACGGCACCAATCGGTGGTTGTTATAATATGAATTTTTCAACAATTTCAATAATTTTTCATTCAACATTTTCAATTTTAAAATCGGCTTGACAGTTCATTGTCTTATCACTTGTGTCGATGCGTCTACCTGTATTCTTATGCCATGGTCAATTTCTTTGATTATACGTCAAACTAACGATGAATATGCGCAAAACGCGCATAAAGATGACTTTAACTTAACTCCACCAGTGTCAAAAGTATATCTCTCGTGAGTAGTGGAATATAATAAAGATCAGATCAGTGAGAAAATAAAAATGGGATGTTGTCAAATGAAACATTTTGAAAAAAATGTGAACATATGACTGCATGACTTTACCTTCTTCATTCTACCACGCATGGTATTTTCAGGGTTCTAAATGATAATTTGAAATTTATTCTATTTTCATAATTTCTACCATTGAAAGCAAGGTAGGATTTAAGGTGGGAATACATAAAGCGCTTATTTGGTTGGTTTAAGTCATCGGCTGGCTTCTTCGTATAGGACTAAAGCAAAGACCTCAAATGGTAAAGACTGGACAAAATGCATAATGGAAAAATACTTTATGTAAAAAATATACAGGGGCGCTGCTCACAACAGTGACATGTTGGCATTAAAATCATATTTACAGAGCAATTTTAAGAATAACATTTTCTGTAAACCAATAATTTGGACTAAAAATTGCATTCATTGACGTTTTCAATTAATTGAAAATTGCATTTGCTGTTAAATTCCTTTAACATTGGTGAGTATGTTGTTATGATATCGTAACAACAGAGGTATTTACACCTGGTGACAATATTTTGACTCTCTCTTGTCCCATATTTATACTTCTATGTCTTTGACTAAAGGACTATTAGGTTGACTTAGTCCGATTTTGGCCCCAGGCTTCCTCGTTTATTTCCGAAGAAGCCAGCCGATGACTTAAGCAAGCCAAAAAAGTGCTTTATGTATTCCCACCTTTAGTTTTTTTTACTTGCTTGGCGTGACATATCAAATTTAGTTGACAATATTAAAATTCAGTTGCAAAGTAGAAGAATACAATGAACTCTTAAATCAATTTTGAAATTAAAACTTTTGAATGAAAAATTATTCAAATTGCCAAAAATTGATTAAAAAAATGTATATCACAACAAATCTTCAATTGGCATCGTATAGGAAAACATATACAAATCTAGTTATTTTTGACATTAAAATAGTTAAACATATCAACGTTCCCAATCGTTGATGCATCTAACTCATGGTAGAAGAATATAGATAGACGCATCGACACAACTGCTGGGACAATGAACTGTCAAACCAATTTTGGAATTGAAAATGTTGAGTGAAAAATTATTTAAATTTTTAAAATTGTTGATAACGTGTATTATAATAACCTCAGAATGACGTCGTATGAGAAAACATATAAAAATCGACCTATATTTGAAAGACATTTAATTTTTTTGATATATCAATGTTCCCAAGCGTTATTGCATCTGTGTTCTTCTACCATGATCTAACTGAATTCTTTTACCATGTTCAGTTGTTAGGCGCATCAACACAGCTGCTGGTACAATGAGCTATCAAAACATCTTTGGAACTCAAAATTTTGAATGAATAATTTTATAAATTACGTATTTTTTTCATTTTTTTTTATTTATTCAAAATTTTTCATTTATTAAAAATGAACGCAACAAGTTGTTTTTTTTTTAACAAAATAACTCGTTGCATTTGATAGTAATCCTGACAGAACAATTCATACAGATTTGCCTCTTTACTTACAACTTTCTCGAACTTATCCTACCTTGTCTTAATTGTATTATGATTTCAACTACATTGTAATCGATTAATTCTCTTTTTAAGCGAGGTACACACTATCAGCTTTGAATGACAGTGTCTCCGTTTAAGTTTGTCAAAAAAATGTCGTGATTGTTCCACAGATTAATAATATCTAAAAGAGCTCTGTCATTCAGAACTGATAGTGTCTAGTCTGCTTTAGTATTGTTGTTTTATGTCTTATTATCTTATGCATTTTATTTGTAAGTTGTTATTGTATTTTTATTTTATTTTCTTAAATTACTTAAGTCTGTAAGAGTATGTATGTTCAACAGTATGTGTCCTTGTATTGTTCTATGTATGTATGTATGTATTTATGCATGTTTGTTATGAGAGTGTTCTATTTTAATACTCGTTCATGGTTTCGTCTTAAACAAATTCCTCTTTTTCCTCCAGCCATGGATGATTTAAGCACTCCGCTGCCGATGCTCTTATAACGGGATTATATTCCAACATTGGTAACAGAAAATCGGAGAATTTTTTCGCTTCAATTGGATCCCAATCGTATTTTTCGATTAGAACATTTATCAGACTCCATGGTTTTAATTTTGTTATATTTCGTAGACTTCCTGTAGGTGGGAGAAGAAAAAGAAATGGAATCAGTGGAATTGACGTAATAATAATTAGACAAGGAAGCAAACTTAAATTAGATTGGTAAAAAAAACAAGCGGCGGCAGGACGATTGATCAACTTTTATTCAAAACACCTCCGACGAAAAAAATTAATTAATTAATTTTTTTCAATATAAGTTACGAACAATTCCACTCAGAGAACGAAAGAAAAATACGCCACAAAATGATTTTTCAAAAATCACCATTGATGACCTAATTATACGCGCAAGAACGTACCAAAAAAGGAGGCAAGACAAGAAAAGATGTATAAAGCTGTTACTTATATGCCGAAATTCTTAGAAAGACTTTATAAGTCAAACATCTTTAATAAGGACCACTATCAATTAGCTTTAAAATCATGTAATAATGTCGACAAAATCTAGTAAAACAAAATCTAAAATGAAGAAGGATGACAAGTCCAATGTAGTTTATGGGATAAAGGTGAGAGTACATAAACAGCTTGAAGTCTTCGCATGGCATACTTTGTGATGTATCATAAATGGATGCCAGAGCCAAACTCAAATTATGCCGTCATTTCCCTTTATAATTTGACATTACTATGCCTATGCTATGTACCCTCACCTTTACATGTAATAGGGGCGACGCTGACGTGTACCAAAAGGCATATGTCGACACCATAAAGGCAAAATTAAAAAGTAGCCTTCCCGGGCATAAGTCGGGTCAAAAAAATGACAAGCCTCTCGAAAAAAATTCTGCTCTAGCTGCCCATTCCACATTGACAGGACATGAACCCAAAGTTAGCACAAGAAAATAATTACAGAAGACGATTAACATTGGAAGCGTTACATATTATAAGTTTACCAAATGACAAACAAATTAATTATCAAACCGATACAGGGCACTGTGCTCGCATTTACAAGAGCCTAGTTCATAAACACCGACGAAAGAAAACTTAGTTTGATACTGACAATGTATGTTATTTATTGTGTCATATATTGTTAAAATCAGTTTGTAATCTGTGCTTTTAAAGAAGATGAAGATGAAGATTTTTCGGAGGAAGACGAAATATTGGAGAAATAAAAGCGGAAAAATTAAAATATAAAAAAAACACAGTTTTTAATAACCTCCTATGTTTAATAACCTAAATATGTTTAGGTATTTATTGAGGTAGAAAACCCAAGGAAGTTTTATTTTACAGAAGATATTTTTGAAAGATCTGCAATGTCTTTTATGTAAGGGCACTATCAGAGGGATTGGGTTTTACATCTGTTTTACTATCCCAGTTTAGAGCACGTTTAAATTACTAATGTCACTTGATTTCAAATGCCACTTCCATATACGTCACGTAAATCGTATTCATAAATCCAGTGGATATTATGAGAAGAATACAAATATGAGAGAAGAATACAGGTAGTCGCATCGACACAGCTGCTAGGACAATGAACTGTCAAACTAATTTTGAAACTGAAAATGTTGACAAAAAAATTATTCAAATTCGTCAAAATTTTTGAAAAATGCATATCGGTGTCGTATAAGAGAACTTATAAAAATCTACTAATTAAAAAAAAAGAAAACATTTAAAAATTTTTGACATATCAATGTTCCCAAGCGTTGATGCATCCACCTGTATTCTTCTACCATGCAGCAGCGCTGTGATACATACATTTTCCAATCCAGTTGTCAAAAAATTGACAAGAAACATGTTCGCCACAAAATTTTACTGTCATGCCTTAAGCATGAATTTTGACATTTTATCAGATAAAACAACAGCTGTTTTTAGATTAATTCGCTCGAAGGAAGACCTTATAATTGGACCATGGTTAGCATATTAATGTCAAATTGTAGGAGAAAGACGGCAGGATTCGAGTTCGGCTCTGACATTCCTTTTGATATGCATGGTAGAAGAATATAGGTAGATGCATCAACGCTTGGGAACATTAACATGTCAAAAAAAAAAAAAAATAATAATTATGTTTTTTCAAAAGTGAGTAGATTTATATATGTTTTCAAATTTGAATAATTTTTCATTCAAAAATTTCAATTCCAAATTTGGTTTGACAGTTCATTGTCCCAGCAGCTGTGCTGTTGGGACTACCTGTATTCTTCTACAATGGGAATATGTCACTTAATATGATATGAAAAAACTGCAACCAACTTCAGACTGCTGTCATTTCTAAGCCACTCTCCCGACAGTTGTTCATATTATTCCAGTGACAGTTCATTATATTTTTAACAAGCGTACAAAAGCTTTTTGGTGAGAATTTTCCAGAAAAATAAGTTATTCGTGCTGGAAGTCAAGCGTGATAGTGTGATTTCTTTATATTTGGCTGGAAAACCACAAATGGCTGTCGTTAGAACACTCCAGCAGTTAAATGTGAATAAATATTTTGTGTCTCGTACCAATCGCTCGTTACCGTGATACTGGTAGCGTAGCCCGACGTCAAGGGATTGGACGGAAGAAAACAGCAACATCAGCAGAAATGGTTCGAAAAGTAAGGAAGTGACTTGATCAAAACCCGTCGCGTCGCAGTGGCCGAAAAATGGCTCGTGAGCTGAACTTATCGCTATATTCCATTCGGCAAATATTGAAAAATGAGCTCGGGGTAAAGCAATTGAAATTCCAAAAAGTGCAAGAACTTACACCGCAACAGAAAGAAAGTAGACTCAAAAGAGTTAAAGTGTTGCTTTGCTTGGCTGAAAGTGGCGCACAATGGCCACAAAAATCTCCGGATACCAATCCGTTGGACTATTGTGTCAGGAGTATTTTGGAAAGCAAGGTTGGCACTAAAAAAATACCAAAGTGTCGATCACCTCAAGCAAGCGTTTCGCCGGGAATGGGCCAAAATACCGCGTAGCAACATTCGAGCATCGTTTGACGGTTTCATTGGCCGTTTGAAGGCCATAATTCGTGCCAAAGGTGACCATTTCGAACAAATCTAAACTTATTCTAAAATTTGATGCTCTTTCCGACATTTTTTGCTTTCATTCAATAAAATTAAAAAAAAAATGTAAAAATTATGGCGTTTGACTTTGTTGCAGTTTTTTTTTTGTCTCAATTACCATTATTAACCCGGATAAAGATTTGTATGTAAACATTCTTTTTTTATTCCAAAATAAAGAAGGATTCTACTGATTTCTGAAAGAGCCCTCACTTTCAAACTTACCATAACTTGTAAAATATTTAACACCGTGTTTTCCGCGAAATATTACCGACGGTGGTATTGTGCCCAACAGCTCAACGATATGGGCCAAGTGATCTTCGTCCCTGGAATACGTTTCTCCGGCATGTGGATCAAATAGATAATCGCCGGTGGCCAATTCAAATGCCAGACATGCAGTACTCCAAATGTCCGCTGTATAATTATACGGGGCACCCAAAAGGACTTCTATCGAACGGTATTGTCTCGTTTGGATATCCTCGGTGAAGTGGTGATACTGCAATCGTGAAAAATCGTTTAATCAAATTGTTGTTTGTCAATAAATCACACACTGTGAACCTACCTCATAACATGCATTACCCAAATCGGCAATTTTCACTCGTACATTCGTATTGTTGATCAGCGACTGTATGGCATTCGTATAGGATTGTGTCTGAGGAATTGGAGTATTGGCATTTAAAATGTTGGTATTATTTAATTGATTATTGATTTGTTCTGCTTTATCAGAACCAGTTGTGGTGGTAGTTGTTGTTGTTGTGGTGGTGATGGTGGTTGTGGTGGTTTCAGTGGGCGGCTGTGAGAAAATTTTCAACAATTTGTTTTGTTTTTTTTTGACACATACCAAAAGAAGAAGGAAACGGAAGAAGAAGAAAACAGGAGAATGCAAAAAAAGAACGATAAACAAAGAGTTGTGGTGCAAAACATTCACATGAGATTTGTAGCCATAATATAATGTAGATGGCGTTCGAATTGGCGTAGCCGATTTATTAGAATGTAACTTTCCATCAAAGTGAAGATTGGAGAAATAAAACACAATTTCCTGACTATTTATATATAAAAGAAACTTTTTAAACGATGTGTGAGAAAAATCCTAAGCAGTCCCTAAATAGGTATAAAAAAAATTTCTGAAATTCTTCAAAAAAGTCCCAATACGTGCTTAAGGTGAGAACACATAACAAGCTTTTTTGACTGGCTTTTGTGTTGTATCGTATGTACCATGATATAGTTAAATTTTCGCCCATAATTTACACTTTTTTGACCTACGCTCGTTTGTTCTTTTACGAAGAAACCAGCCGATGACTAAGGGTGGAAATACATAAAGCGTATATTTGGCTGGCTTAAGTCATCGGCTGGCTTCTTCGTAGATGAACAAAGGAGTTTTAGGATGACTTAGTTCGATTTTGTCCCTAGGCTCCTTTGTTCATTTCCGAATAAGCCAGGCGATGACTGAAGCCAGCCAGATAAGCGCTTTATGTATTCCCACCTTTAAACCAGTAAAAAAAAATATTTATTTAGCTGTGCCTTTATAGTCCCTAGAAAAGGCTAAAAAACCTACGAGACATGTCAAAATGAATGCCCAGTGTACGCGGAGAAGGGTTCTTTAATTCTTAAAAAAAACTTGACATTTCTTGACCTGCGAGTAGAGCTTTTAAATTCTTTAAAAAAGACACATGCTTCTCAGAGCAGACTTTCTAAGTGCCATAAATATATATACGTAGCTGGCCCCTCAGTATACTTCTTAAATTTTTATACCCTAACTATTGTCCTCCGATCTTCCTAAAATCTTTAAAAATCGACGTTTTAGAGGCTTGAAAAAGCTTTTAAGGTTCTTTGAAACAAAAATACACGCATATTGCTCTTAGAACACTTCTATTTTTATACCCTACACCACATAGTGGTTAGGGTACTATGTCTTTGTGATTTTTTTTTGTAACATGGAGTGGGAAGCGAGATAGACCCATAGTTACTTTTGGGGATCTTCATAAAATCACTTCGTGAGTCGAATTTGCGTGTCAATCCAAGGACGAAACCTATTGAAATTGGTGAGGATCGGTTTAAATTTAGATATAGCTCCCATATATCTTTAACCGGTTTTGGGTTAATTGTGCACAAAATGGTCAATATCAGTCCAAATGACCTGAATTTTGGCACATCCGACCGAATTCAGTCTAGAGGCATGTACATCAAATTTGATGAAAATCAAGATCGGTTCAGATTTGTATATAGCTCCCATATATATCTTCGACCGATTTTACGTTTATTGCGCACCAGATGGTTAATATCGGTCCAAATGTAGTGAATTTTGCCACTTCCGACCGATTTCAGTCTAGAAGCAAATTTGGTGAAAATCGATTTGGCGTTTGATTCCCTCACATTCTTAATATGCAATCTACAACAATGATATTTGGTATCAAATATCTCATAGAGCTCAGAAATACCTTTGCCAAATTTTATCGAAATCGATTCAGATCGGCTCAGAATTTTATTGTGCGCCAAATATGCAATATTCGTCCAAATAGGATGTATTTTGGCACATCCGAACGTATTCAGCCTAGAAGCAAGTATATCACTCACCAAATCCTCCGTCAAATTTAGCGGAAACCGGTTTTCAGAATTCGCAATATGCATTCAAAAACACCATAGTTGTTTATGATCCACATAAATTCGCTGTATAGGCGTTTATTTATATTGCGGATAGCTCTACTTTATAAGCATAGTGGGGTAGGGTATCATAAAGTTGGCCTCGTTCGACTTTTTACCTATCTTTACTGGTTTTTGTTATGAAAAATCCACGGTCACCAAGAAAGCTTCTAAAGTTCTATTAAAATGCGAATGAAAAACTCTAAAAAGTCTAAATCATTTTTTAAAGTTCGACCGAAAAGAATTTAAGCGAGAAAGCCTCTCAAAAATGTTTTAAAATCCCACTCATAGTGCCCTCCGGAAAAGCTTCAAAAACTTCAAGAAAATCAAGGCGGGAAATCCTCTAAAATAACTGAAACGAGTAAAAACGCAGCTAAGTTCAACCGGGACGAACTTTTAATACCCTCCACCATATGGAAAGAACCCGCGAAATTGAAACGAATTCCGAAAAATACCATCTAAATGATTACCTTTATACGGGGGCTATACGAAGACGTGAACCTACATTAAGATATTCAAATACGACATTTGAAATAATTCCGGCGAATAATGTCAGTAAAATCATAAAAATACCGAATATTGGGAGGTACCGTTACAATGGAGCAATGGTACATATACTGAAGTACCCTTACAAACTTTAAATACGAAATTTGAAACAATTCGGATAAATAATGTAGCTAAAATCATCAAAATACTAAATATTGGGAGGTACCGTTATATGGGGGCTATACGAAGACTTGAACCTGCATACAAACATTTTTGTCATAGGCTGTAGTACCTATTCAAATACGAAATAATTCCGGTAAATAATGTCGCTAAAGCATGAAAATACCGAATATTGGGAGGTACAGTTATATGGGGGCTATACGAAAACGTGCGCCGACATGTCCCATTTACGAACTTAACCTGCCTACTGGTAAACTATGCATGTAAACTATGAAAAATAGCGTGACAGACAGAGTCTATACATTGTAGGGTCTATTATAAATATTTCGAGGAGTTACAAACGGAATAACAAAGTTAATATGCCCTCCATAGAATGGTGGAGGGTAAAAAAACACACGATAAAGCTATTAAATTTCTTAATGAAATACCACGCTTATCACAATCTAAAAAAGTCTAAAACTATTTAAAAATGCGAGCGAAAAAAACTTCAAAAATACTTAAAAATCCAGACGAGAATGCTTTTAAAAAAGCTTTGTAAGAACCCACGCATAAAGCACACCAAGAAAGCTTTTCAACTCCCTTAAAAAACGCGGGAAAGCTTCTAAAATAAATTAAAAGACCATGCACAAAAGATCCGTAAATAATTTTTCACGAAAAGAAGAAGCCAACTTAGCGTCGAAAAAGCTCCTAAAAGTCTCCAGAAGGTCCCAAGAGAAAGATTTTAAAACTTGTAAAAAATTAACGCGAAAATGCATTTAAAATTCTTTAAAATATCCTCGCTCATAGTCATTTTAATAAGTTTTCCGAGTGCAAAAACTTATATAAAATAGTAAGCGTGGAAACTTGTACGAGAAAACTTTTATGGTCCTATAAGAAACTTAAGCGAAAAAACTTTTCAAATATTTAATAAGAACCCAACGCTTATAGCCCCTCCGAGAAAGCTCCTAAAATTCTCTGAAGAACGTCCCTGCTAGAGGAAACCCTATAAAAAGTTATTAAAAAATCTATTTCCGAACCTACAGAACAATTTTTATATTAAAAAAAATTACGCGTATAAGCAGGATCGTTTCTTAAATAGTTTTACAATTCACGCTTCCGTCCTGGGAAAAGTATTTCAAAATTAAATAAATCATCATGGCTATAAAAATTATTCTCCATTTCCAAATTCCATAAACTTTGTTGGAAAGTACATTGCAAACATTTCGAAAATCAATTTATATTCCACTAAATTGAATTTCATGTTGTTAATAAATTATTTTAAAAGTAATCGGTTCAATTGATTCACGTTGTTATTTATATAGTGAAAATACATAAAAAGCCTTATAGCCTAGATGAAATGTGTGTTGTTGTGTTTCTCTTAATTAAATGATAGATTATCAAATAATAGCAAAACTTAAAGTAAATTAAACAAACAACATAAAACTAAATAAATTTCTGAAAATTTCAATACAAAAACATTCCAAATTCTACATTTTGGCGTGTGAGGTGAGGGGTGGCGTTTGTTAGTTTTTTTGTTGTGGTTTTCTTCTAAAATAGTTAATAATATATTCGTATTATATTGTTACAATGTGATATTAGCTTAAATGGTATAGCATGGCATTTGTAATTAAGAGGTACTTTGTATTTGAATGAATTGGAAATAATTATTGGTAATTACGCTAATGAATATATGTGTCGTACTTATGGATGTAATGAGAGTAATTACCATATATACAATATGAGGGTGTCTTCAGAACTAAAGCTAAAATTTAATTACATAGGATATACATCTATGAGTTGTTAATTTATGTCCATAGATTCTAAGGCAGCATGGGAAATTTAAGGAGTTTTAAAAAGGAACTTGTAGCAAAAATACTGTCTACACCACAAGGAGAATCTGCGAGAAATGTCTGCCATTGATTCAGCTAACTTCATTTGAAAACAGTCTCAGTTTCAAGAATCCTAATTTAATTTCAAATGCAAGCAACTTGATTAGCTTTTAATTAAGAGTGAAATAACAAAAACAAATCCCATGCACAGATAAGTGTCAATGCAGAAATATACTGTGGGTCAAGTGTTTAGGGTTTGGATTTTTCATCGGCCAATGGAATTTTATAGCCCTGGTAGGCTCTTAAAATTCCATAAAAATCAATATTTATAAAAGACTTCTTTATATCCGCTTTTATAGAAGTCGAATTTACTCTTTTATTTGACAACTTAAATTCGTTGGAAATCGACCTCTATAGCCCTGGCTTCACAAATTCATTAAAAATCAGATCTTTTTTATCGCTGACGACTATATGTCATTAAAAATCATATAGTCCTAGCGGAAGACTTCTTAAATTTCTTGAAAATACTAAAATATAGCCATTATATTAGGGTCTACAGGGTGAGATGAAAAAAATGCAACCAACTTCAAACTGTTATCATTTCTAAGCCACTCGTCAGACAGCTATTAAAGTTATTTCAGTGACAGCACACTACATTGTTTACAAGCATACAAAAGCATTTTGGTGAGAATTTTCCAGATAAAAAGTTATTCGTGATGGAATTCAAGTGTAATAGGGTGATTTCTTTATATTTGGCTGGAAAACCATAAGTGGCTATAGTTAGAGCACTCCAGCTCGTTACCGTGATACTGGTAGTGTAGCCCGACGTCAAGGAAGTGGACGGAAGAAAACATCAACATCAGCAGAAATGGTTCGAAAAGTAAAGAACCTATCGCATACCGTGAGCTGAACATATCGCAATGTTCCATTCGGCAAATATCGAATATGAGCTCGGGGAAAAGCCATTGAAATTCCAAAAAGTGCAAGAACTTACACTGCAACGGAAAGAAAGAGGTTCCTTGGTTCATTTCCACCGCACAATGGACACCAAAATCTATTGTTTCTGGAGTATTTTGGAAAGCAAGGATGGCAGTCACAAATACCAAAGTGTCGATCACCTCAAGCCAGCGCTTCGCCGGGAATGGGCCAAAATACCTCAGAGCAACATTCGGGCAGCGTGTGACGGTTTCGTTGGCCGTTTGAAGGCCATAATTCGTGCCAAAGGTGACCAATTCGATTAAATCTAAACTTATTCTAAAATTTGATGCTATTTCCGACATTTTTTGCTTTCATTCAATAAATTAAAAAAAAAAAAAATGAAAAAATTAGGCGTTTGACTTTGTTGCAGTTTTTTTTCTTGTATACGAGACTTCTTTATATCCGAGTTTATGGAAGTCGAATCTAGCCCTGACTTCACAAATTCGTTAAAAATCAGCTCTTATATCCCTGACGACTATATGTCTTTAAAAATCATATAGTCCCAGCGGAAGGCTCCAAAAATTCCTTAAAAATACTCGGTAAAAAAACCTGTAGGAAGGCTGGAGTTATGTAGCTCCAAATCAGCAATTCTGGAATTAACAAGTAAAAAAGCTGAAAGTTCTTTAAATACTCTCCACGAATTTTGCAATTTTCAAAAAATAAAATCCGTTAAGTATTCTGTTAAAGTCTTAAAAATACCGAACGTAGCCATTATATAAGGGTCTATACGACGACGTTGGCCTGCATAGGCAACTTTTGTCATAAGCCATTACAATATTCATATGAGAAACTTGAAACCAAAACGTGGACCTGCACAGACAATTTTTTGTCATAGGCTGTAGCACACATTAGGACCTTCAAATACGAATTTAAAATGATTCTGGTGAATAATGTAGCTAAAATTATCAAAGCACCGAATATCGAGAAGTACCATTATATGGAGGCTATACGAAGACGTGGGCCTGCACAGACAGTTTTCTGTCTTAGGCTGTAGTATCCATTACGAACTTCAAATACCAAATTTAAAACAATTCTGCTGAATAAAGTCGCTAAAATCATCAAAATACCGAATATCGGGAGGTACCTTTATATGGGGGCTATACGAAAACGTGGACCTGCACAGACAATCTTCTGTCTTAAGCTGTAGAATCCATTACGAACTTCAAATACCGAATTTGAAAAAAATTCCGGTCGCTAAAATCATCAAAATATCTAATATCGGGAGGTACCGTTATATGGGGGCTATACGAAGATGAGGATCTGCGTACGTAATTTTTTGTCATAGGTACCCATTAGGACCTTCAAATACGAAATTTAAAACAATTCTGGTCAATAATATCGCTAAAATCATCAAGATACCGAATATCGGGAGGTAACATTATATGTAGGGTATAGGAAAACGTGCACTTGCATACGCAATTTTTTGTCATAGGCTGTAATACCCATTACGAACTTTAAATCCAAAATTTGAAACCATTCCATTGAATAATGTCGCTAATATCATCAAAATACCGAATATCGGCAGGTAACGTAATATGTGGTCTATACGAAAACGTGGATCGACATGACCCATTTACTAGCAAGTAACTGGCAAAATATACACATGTGTGCAAAATTTTAGCCTTCTATCTCAATTCGTTTAAAAGATAATGTGATTACAACAGACGGACAGACAGAAGAACAGGCGGACCTCATTAAATCGACTTAGAATTTTACGCTCCTTAAATGACATTCTATATGAAATAGGTTATGCCAAGGGACTTCCAATAATCTGCTACTATTCTAATTAAGCGAAGTGTAACTACATTTTTCGCACACAACTGCATATGCATACAGCTGCCTTACAAAAAAAGAGAATACTGTAAAAAAACATTCACACACACACTCATCTCATTGATACATTCACTTTGAGAGAGTACTCTCATCTATAGTTTGTTTGCTTGCTGTTTTTTGTTCTAAAAATGAATGATTGTTGATGTTTGCATTTGTTTGACTAGACCAAAGATATGCATGTATATGTGTATGTAATGGCGGTGATGATGATTGAGAAAAAAGCAGCAGCAGCAACAACAACAAAAGACAAGAGTATAACTGCCGAGATAATCATGAAAATTGCAATGATAATGGTTTGGTCTGATGGCTGTTGATAATGGGAATAACTGGTTCAAATATAGAGGGCAAGGGGAAGGGAAGAAATGTGGCGGGTGTAGGCAACATCGAATATGTGAAGTGGTCAGTTACTGGGTCACATCAATGGGGCTGTGGACACCCCAAAACTCAAAAACACATACGTAATATGGTGATGCATTTGATACAGAGATAAGAGAGTGGGTGGTGGGTGATTGAGTGAGTGAGTGAGAGTAACTGAGTATTGTTGCTGTCAAGACTTAAGATTCCTGTTGTTGAGCCGGTTTTGGCCGGTGTTATTGTGGCATTTGATGAAGAGTTGTTTTGTTGGGAATGGTGATGATGATGATGATATTTTAACAGTTAGAAGTGGATGTAGAGGGCATGGGGTGGCGACAGAGGTTGCAAGAGAGGTTTATGGATTTTGAATGTGGTGCAACTTTTTTTTGCCTTTACCTTTAATATCGATGATGGTGATGCATTCATTGCTGTTGTTGTTGTTGTTGTAGTTGTGACTGCTGGGCCAGCAGTTGCAGAAATTGTTGTTGATGTTTCTTGTTGGGATATTGTGACTGTTACTGCCGATGTTGTTGTTGTTGCAGATTCTATTGTGCTTGTGCTTAGGTTAGTTGGTGGTTTATTGGCCATTGCCGGCAATATTGGTTCACTTAAATTAAGTGGAGAGGTGGTGGTGCTGGTGTTGTTGTTGTTGTTATTATTGTTATTAGTATTTGTGGGTGGGGAGTTTAAGCTCTCATTTGTTACCAAACCACCAACTGATTTGTGCTCATCATTGGCCAATGATTTTGGCGAGGTCTCCTTGAGTTTTGGATCCATAATGGCGCCTGACTTGGTATCTTCAGAGCCGCCGTCACCACCATTTTGTCCTCGATTCATTACAGTTCTCTCCATTTCATCTATGAGCTCTACTTCTTCGCTCTGGAGTTGTTTTGTTTCGTTTGATTTGATTTTCAAATTCATATTTGTGCGTTAGAGGTGAATTGTGGTGAAAGGTCAGTTAAGGGGAAAATTTTTACAATTTTGTTGTTGTTGTTGTAAAATTTACAGTTTAGTTTGATTTGGATTTTTGAATTGTGGTATTTTGGTTTTGCATTTAAGATTTGTTATGTGAAAGAATAATTATTGTTGGTTGTTTCATAGAAATATATATTGAGTGTAGGGTGCAATATTACATAAAATATTTATATATGTATTGAGAAAAATATATATATTGAAAAAAGAAACCAAAAAATAAAAAAAAAATACAAAAAAGAATACCAAATTCAAAAAAAAAAAACGAAACTCAACCAAAAAAAATAATTCAAAAACTCATTACAAATCTGACAAACAAACAAGCTTTCTGTGTTTGGTATTTATTTGCTATAAATATATTTTACAAATACGGAAAGGAGTAAAAAGGGTATTTTCTCTCCTTTTTACTCCCCTCCCTCCCCTTATTTCTTTTTGCTATTTGCCCAAAAATCTCCCCATTTAACTTACCTTGGCAGTGATTTTCTTCTCAGCCCTAAAACGATTATTTATATTTCCAGTTGTTGATGAATTGCTGGCATTTGTGTTGGCACCAACGCCATTGCCACCTCCACCCGTACTACTACCGCCATCTATGCTATCACCCATTAGACTAGAATATTTCGAGGCAATGGAGGAGGTGTCCTCCTTGTCGCCACTCAAATTATTACCCGCCACACCCAACGGCGGTGGCAATGGTGTCGATGAGGCAGAGTTATTAGCTGTATTTGTATTGGTTACATTGGCTGCATTCATTTCGATGTTCTGTAGCGGCCATTTGGCCCGGGTTTTCGTTTGTTTTTCTATCGAACTTACTGGAAAGAGGCGAGAGGAAAATGCCGGGTTAAAAGGAAAATTAATGGAATAAAATACTTTTTTCAATACAAATTAAAAATTGAATTTTAACTGGAAAATATTTTCAGGATCAAACGTATAAGCAAATTTCCGTCATTCTGAAAAGTATTTTCTTTTCTGTGACTAAAAACACCTACTCCCCTCCCCTTACTGGAAAGGGGCGAGAGGAAAATGTAAGAAGAGAGATTAGAGGGACGAAATAGAATGAATTAATTTTTTTAAATAAAAATTCACTCAAATTGGGAATATTTTCGGGATCAAACGTTTTAGCAAATTTCCTTCATTCTGACAAGTAAATTGTTTTTCTGTGACCAAAACACCTACCCCCATCCCCCCAAATGATATATAAAATAGTAAAAAAGTTGTAAGTTCGGCCGGGCCGAATTTTGAATAACCTCCACCATTTGTAACGAATTTGGAAATTCTTAAAAAACAATAAAATCCACTAAAAATTCTGTTAAAATCTTAAAAATGCCGAATGTAGCCATTACAATATTCAAATGCAAAACTTAAAAAAAAATCGGTGAATAATGTAGCTAAAATCGCCAAAATACCGAATATCGGGAGGTACCGTTATGTGGGGTGCTATCAAAATACCGAATATCGGGAGATACCGTTATATTGGGGCTATACGAAGACGTGGACCTGCACAGACAATTTTCTGTCTTAGACTGTAGTACCAATTTCGAACTTCAAATATCAAGTTTAAAGCAATTCCGCTGAATAATGTCGCTAAAATCAAGAAAGTGCCGAATATCGAGAGGTACCGTTATATGCAGGCTATACGAAGAGGTGAAACTGCAAAGACAATTTTTGCCTTAGGCTGTAGTATCCGTCAGGAACTTCAAATATCAAATTTGAAAAAATTCTGATGAAAAATGTCCCTAAAATAATCAAAATACCGAATATCGGCAGGTATCGTTGTGTGGGGGCTACACCAAAACGTGGTCCTACATGGCCCATTTTCAATACCCAAAGTCATGCAGACATAATATACATTTGAGTAAAATTTTTATCAATCTACTTCATTTCATTCGGAAGTAGAGTGATTTTCACAGACGGATAGACGGACGGAGATCGACATAAAATTTTATGCTGATGAAGAAATATATACTTTGTGGCGTCTAAAATGTATATTTCGAGGTGTTACAAACGGAATGACAAACTTAATATACCCTCCATACTATGGTGGAGTGTTTAAAAAAATGGCGGACACTTTATTGTATTGGCCATCAGGGCGTATAAGTATTTATATATCATCCAATGTCAATCATACGCACGTTAGGCCCACAGTCAAGGTTTGTGCTCGCGTACCAGTCACAGAAAAATCTATATCCTCTTATTTGCCTATCAAAGTTTTCTTTTCAACCAAAAAAGAAAATCTCTAAACTATCTGCTTCCGAATTTCTACTTACTATACGAATCTGGAAAATCCACCCCCTTGATGCGCAAACTGGTTATCTCATCATCGATTTGTTGATTCATAGCTGCCGCATTATCGATGACGAGCAAAATATTCTCCGGCTTAATGTCCGTGTGTATGATGTTACATTTGCTGTGCAAATAGTCCAAACCCTCCAGCACCTGTTTGATGATATTTCGCACCTGGGCCAAAGCCAAACCCTGATAGTTGTTCTTCACGATCAACTTGTACAGGCTGCAGCCCAGCGCCTCGAAGACGAGACACGTGTGAACGCCGTTCACACCGCGCACCGTAAAATGATTGAGCAAACGTACGATACGTTCACGTTTCACATCCAATGGATCAGCATCACGTATAGCCTCTAGGAGGCGTATCTCATCAGCTGCAGTCTCAATATAGTGTGGGGCACTCTTCACCACCTTCAGGGCCACGTATTTTTCTTCTCTGCAAAAGGAAAAGGGGGAAATCATGTGGAGGCGAATTGTGGAATATTTATCTTATATGGCTTACTTGAGATCTCGACATAGCCACACCGTGGAAAAGTGTCCCCAGCCCAGTTTGCGCACAACTCGAAACCGATTATCAAATATATCACCAATGACCACCGGATGATAGCCACCGCGACAATACTGGGCCGCATCTTCCTGCTCCTCATCCGAGCCGTATAAACTGCTGTCGGGTGAATCGGGAAATATTTCATCGGTGGTGCTTAAAGTACCACGAGGTTCAGATCTGCAATAAAAACGGATGATTTTTATTTTTAGATTTTTTTTTTTGGGGAAGAAAAATTTATAGTCTCAAGAATTTATATAAGAGAGACAAAAAAATTAAAAAATGGATAGTTTTGCAAGGTAGTCCAGAGGTGATTCAGAAACGAAAATAGGAGTTAATATTTATTTTGTAAAGATTTTTTTCCATAACCTTCTGCAGAGTGACTCTGAATATAATTCAAATAGCAAAAGCAAGTTACTCGACACCAAAATTATTCAGACTACGGTAGGCACCAAACAAGCTCGACACACCTGGAGGTGTGAGGTTGGTGCTTTCCTAAATACAAATCCTTTTCGATTTATTTTTTCCTCTTAAAATACCCTATTTTTCCTCTTTAAATATCTCAATGAAAAACATGCTAAAAAACCCGAAATGTCAATATTTAAGGAGTTATGAGCGTTTTAAAATACCCTATTTTTCCTCTTTAAATATCTCAATGAAGTCAGACGCTAAAAACCCCGAAATGTCAATATTTAAGGAGTTATGAGCGTTTTAAAATACCCTATTTTTCCTCTTTAATAATCGCAATAAAAAAACATGGTAAAATCCCGAAATGTCAATATTTAAGGAGTTATAAGCGTTTTAAAATACCCTATTTTTCCACTTTAAATATCTCAATGAAAAACATGCTAAAAAACCCGAAATGTCAATATTTAAGGAGTTATGAGCGTATTAAAATACCCTATTTTTCCTCTTTAAATATCTCAATGAAAAAACTTGCTAAAAACCCCGAAATGTCAATATTTAAGGAGTTATGAGCGTTTTAAAATACCCTATTTTTCCTCTTTAAATATCTCAATGAAGTCAGACGCTAAAAACCCCGAAATGTCAATATTTAAGGAGTTATGAGCGTTTTAAAATACCCTATTTTTCCTCTTTAATAATCGCAATAAAAAAACATGGTAAAATCCCGAAATGTCAATATTTAAGGAGTTATGAGCGTTTTAAAATACCCTATTTTTCCTCTTCAAATATCTCAATGAAAAACCTGGCTAAAAATCCCGAAATGTCAATATTTAAGGAGTTATGAGCGTTTTAAAATACCCTATTTTTCCTCTTTAAATATCTCCACGAAAAAACATGCTAAAAACCCCGAAATGTCAATATTTAAGGAGTTATGAGCGTTTTAAAATACCCTATTTTTCCACTTTAAATATCTCAATGAAAAAACATGCTAAAAACCCCGAAATGTCAATATTTAAGGAGTTATGAGCGTTTTAAAATACCCTATTTTTCCACTTTAATAATCGCAATGAAAAAACATGCTAAAAACCCTGAAATGTCAATATTTAAAGAGTTATGAGCGTTTTAAAATACCCTATTTTTCCACTTTAATAATCGCAATTAAAAAACATGCTAAAAACCCTGAAATGTCAATATTTAAGGAGTTATGAGCGTTTTAAAATACCCTATTTTTCCTCTTTAAATATCTCAATGAAAAAACATGCTAAAAACCCCGAAATGTCAATATTTAAAGAGTTATGAGCGTTTTAAAATACCCTATTTTTCCACTTTAAATATCTCAATGAAAAAACATGCTAAAAACCCCGAAATGTCAATATTTAAAGAGTTATGAGCGTTTTAAAATACCCTATTTTTCCACTTTAAATATCTCAATGAAAAAACATGCTAAAAACCCCGAAATGTCAATATTTAAAGAGTTATGAGCGTTTTAAAATACCCTATTTTTCCTCTTTAAATATCTCCACGAAAAAACATGCTAAAAACCCCGAAATGTCAATATTTAAGGAGTTATGAGCGTTTTAAAATACCCTATTTTTCCACTTTAAATATCTCAATGAAAAAACATGCTAAAAACCCCGAAATGTCAATATTTAAAGAGTTATGAGCGTTTTAAAATACCCTATTTTTCCTCTTTAAATATCTCAATGAAAAAACATGCTAAAAACCCCGAAATGTCAATATTTAAGGAGTTATGAGCGTTTTAAAATACCCTATTTTTCCACTTTAATAATCGCAATGAAAAAACATGCTAAAAACCATGAAATGTCAATATTTAAAGAGTTATGAGCGTTTTAAAATACCCTATTTTTCCTCTTTAAATATCTCAATGAAAAAACATTCTAAAAACCCAGAAATGCCAATATTTAAGGAGTTATGAGCGTTTTAAAATACCCTATTTTTCCTCTTTAAATATCTCAATGAAAAAATATGCTAAAAACCCCGAAATGTCAATATTTAAGGAGTTATGAGCGTTTTAAAATACCCTATTTTTCCTCTTTAAATATCTCAATGAAAAAACATGCTAAAAACCCCGAAATGTCAATATTTAAGGAGTTATGAGCGTTTTAAAATACCCTATTTTTCCTCTTTAAATATCTCAATGAAAAACCTAGCTAAAAACCCCGAAATGTCAATATTTAAGGAGTTATGAGCGTTTTAAAATACCCTATTTTTCCTCTTTAAATATCTCAATGAAAAAATATGCTAAAAACCCCGAAATGTCAATATTTAAGGAGTTATGAGCGTTTTAAAATACCCTATTCTTCCTCTTTAAATATCTCAATGAAAAAAACATGATAAAACCCCCGAAATGTCAATATTTAAGGAGTAATGAGCGTTTTAAAATACCCTATTTTTCCTCTTTAAATATCTCACTGAAAACCCCGAAATGTCAATACTTAAGGAGTTATGGGCGTTTTAAAATACCCTATTTTTCCTCTTTAAATATCTCAATGCAAAAACATGCTAAAAACCCCGAAATGTCAATATTTAAGGAGTTATGAGCGTTTTAAAATACCCTATTTTTCCTCTTTAAATATCTCAATGAAAAAATATGCTAAAAACCCCGAAATGTCAATATTTAAGGAGTTATGAGCGTTTTAAAATAGCCTATTTTTCCTCTTTAAATATCTCAATGAAAAAACATGCTAAAAACCCCAAAATGTCAATATTTAAGGAGTTATGAGCGTTTTAAAATACCCCATTTTTCCTCTTTAAATATCTCAATGAAAAAATATGCTAAAAACCCCGAAATGTCAATATTTAAGGAGTTATGAGCGTTTTAAAATAGCCTATTTTTCCTCTTTAAATATCTCAATGAAAAAACATGCTAAAAACCCCGAAATGTCAATATTTAAGGAGTTATGAGCGTTTTAAAATACCCTATTTTTCCTCTTTAAATATCTCACTGAAAACCCCGAAATGTCAATACTTAAGGAGTTATGGGCGTTTTAAAATACCCTATTTTTCCTCTTTAAATATCTCAATGAAAAAATATGCTAAAAACCCCGAAATGTCAATATTTAAGGAGTTATGAGCGTTTTAAAATACCCTATTTTTCCTCTTTAAATATCTCAATGAAAAAATATGCTAAAAACCCCGAAATGTCAATATTTAAGGAGTTATGAGCGTTTTAAAATACCCTATTTTTCCTCTTTAAATATCTCAATGAAAAAACATGCTAAAAACCCCAAAATGTCAATATTTAAGGAGTTATGAGCGTTTTAAAATACCCCATTTTTCCTCTTTAAATAGCTAAAAACCCCGAAATGTCAATATTTAAGGAGTTATGAGCGTTTTAAAGTACCCTATTTTTCCTCTTTAAATATCTCAAAACCCAGAAATGTCAATATTTAAGGAGTTATGAGCGTTTTAAAATACCCCATTTTTCCCCTTTAAATATCTCAATGAAAAAACATGCTAAAAACCCCGAAATGTCAATATTTAAGGAGTTATGAGCGTTTTGAAATACCCTATTTTTCCTCTTTAAATATCTCAATGAAAAACCTAGCTAAAAACCCCGAAATGTCAATATTTAAGGAGTTATGAGCGTTTTAAAATACCCTATTTTTCCTACTTAGTTGACCGCAGCACTATGGGTTTTTTTACGTTTATTTTGGCATAAACTCTAATTTTAAAGCTATTGAATTGAAATTTGTTTGATATACATTTTTTATTCTCCCAAGATGACCTACCAATTTTCATATGATTTGGGACACTATTTCATATGTAGCTGCTATATAGCCGATCTGGCCGATTTGACCCAACTTTTTTATTTATGAAGCTGTTGAAGTGAAATTTGTTTGGTATACATTTTTTATTCTCCCAAGATGACCTACCAATTTTCATATGATTTGGGGCACTATTTCTTATGTAGCTGCTATATAGCCGGTCTGGCCTATTTGACCCAACTTTTTTATTTATGAAGCTGTTGAATTGAAATTTGATTTGTATTCATTTTTATGCCCCCAAGATGACCTACGAATTTTCATATGATTTGGGGCACTATTTCATGTAGCTGCTTTACAGCCGATCTGGCCGATTTGACCCAACTTTTTTTTATGAAGCTATTGAATTGAAATTTGATTTGTATTCATTTTTATGCCCCCAAGATGACCTACGAATTTTCATATGATTTGGGGCACTATTTCATGTAGCTGCTTTACAGCCGATCTGGCCGATCGGCTATGATGATTTGGAGAAACATACTGCTCATTCATTACCATAATTATACTTTTGCTAAGCCATTTTGAATGTTTAGTTTTAAATCGCTCTAGTTTACGGATGCACTTTGGCAAATGCTTTTTTATATAATTAACAAAATCTTTCACTTGTTTTGATATCAAACGCATTTGGTCTTCATTTAAACTGATATTATTGATATTCTGTAACACATATTTCACAAGTGCATCTTCTGAGCGATTGTTGCTTCCCCAAATTTCAATAAGCGCTGCATGGACAAACACATGTTTATCTGCAAAACACGTGTTGGCACAAAATAGAACAAAAAAGGCTAGTTACTCATTAATTAACACACTTTTGTTAATAACTTGGCATTTATACCTTTTTGCAATGCTTTGCCATTCACAAGTTACACTCCACGGAACACAACTACAATTTATAGATTTTATATAAAGCTATACATAAACGAAACAATTCACAGTATTACAACAACAGACAATTATGACAAAAAGGGCACCTCGTCTTAATTGTACATA